TTAAGTACATTGTTAGCTCACCTCATTTTAGACACTCAGTGCTCTGTCTATATTTGACTTTTTTCCAGAAAAAATACACAAATTCAGTCGTTTTTAATGGCTTACATAGCTTCTCTTTAATGCAAAGCTTCAGACAAGACAAAAAGCCAAATAAAACCACTTCCCATGAGGAGTCGGATGAAAAGAGTCTGTATGGGAAGGGGTACACTGCTTGGAAAAGTGTTTCGGGCAGAGGAGGGTGGAATAGCTTCAGGTAAAATGCCCTTGAGGGTTAAAAGTAGCTAAGGCGAAAACTAAGAAGCTGTAATGTGAGAGGAGGCAGGGAGATGGTTTTACTAGGAGAGGTCCAGATGACATTTTAATCAAGTTGAACTAATAATTTTAACAATGTAATTAAACAACAACAACAAAAATAAGTTATTGAGATATCCTTATGGACCTCCATGAATTAAAATACAATCTACAAAATAGAGTTGACTAAGGTGTCTTATACAGAGTGCTTACACATCACACTGTAAAACTTCAGTACTAAACCAGTTTTCTGATTTATTATTTGGTTTGCTGGGTTTAAATTTAATTTTAGATTAAATCTCATGTTCATGCTTTTGGAGATAGAAAAGTTTCATGGTGAATTTAGAGCATATTGGACATCAGGCAAATTGAAAAATGGATGAGTCTGACGTGTTTAGCAAAGGGAAAAAAGCAGAAAAGAAGAGAGGAAAAGTTAAAATTTTACTTTGGACATTAGAAATAGTTATGCCCTGGAATGTATTTGGAGTGTTCAGTCTCCATTTCCCTCTCTGATCAAGATACAGGTAACTGAGATATAGCAAATTAAATGATATTATTCTTCTACAGTTTGAATCCTTTTTAGTGTTTCTGTATATAAATAATGACTTTATTTTAATCCTGTTGTTTTTCTAGTTTGGGGTTGCTTTTATGTTCTGAGGGGCGAACACATTTTGTGGCAGGGTTTCATACTGAAGCAGTAAGCAATGTGATAACTCAAAGAAGTACAGGCAAATCTTAAACTTGTTCAGGGGTAACTAAACCAGAAGAGTGGGACAGAAGACATACTGAACTTCTGTCAATTTTCAGTTCTTCCATTTCAATTTTCAATTCTTCCCAAATCTGAGGCAATCAAACACCCATCTTACTTCAGCACAGCACAAAGCGATTAAGGCTGCTCTTTTTTTTTTTTTTACACTTTGCTGCCTTCATGCCCTCTTTTCCCACCACTGCTTGTCAGGAAGAGTTTGAGCAGGTCGGGTGGCTTCACGCCAAGTCCGGGGGTCCTACGGGGCTTTCATTGCACCACAGCAATGGGGGCCCTTCCTGGTATCCATCCCATCCTGGATGCTGACGAGATACTGTTTGCTATTTCTGTGAAAACATTAAAGTGAAGCTTGACAAACCCAAATGCACATTACTGTTACGGTTACAGAAAAATACCATGTGAATGTGAAACATTGGTATAGAAATACATTGATTTTGTTGTGGTCAAAAGATGGTTGTATAAAAGAAAGTGTTCAGGAGGGAAGATTAAGACTATGGGTAGACAGTTGCAGCTGGCTAAAGTGAGTGTTAATTGCTGTTTATCCCATTTCAACCTAAGATATATGGGCTGCAAGTGGATTATCAGTTAATGCACGGGGCCTTCTTATATTCAGTGACTGAATGAGTATGTGGATACTCATGCATATAAGTATTGGAGGTGAATATTAGAAACTCATACTTGAGAAGGTGTTTTGTTCAGAAGCTCAGGAAGTGGGTTTCATTTAAAATATTCCAAAGAAGTCAGCACTGGACAGTAAAGCAGTTGCGTGGCAATCCCACGCAGGTGACAGTGGCAGAAATGCACCGTCAGGTCTGGTCAGAGCCTGTGGCTGGCAGGGTAATGACTATATTGGCAGCTGCGCTCAGAGGCTCAATAAGGTGTTGCAAACATTATCAGACAAAAATACCTTCAGATGCTCTGAATCCAAATCATGTGTTGAAGTCACGGCAGCACTCTTCCCTTTCACTATGCTGTCAGTTTTCTAAGCCTTCTCTTGGACTGGACTGCACTGCTCTGTTAGTGTCATGTCTTCTCACAAAAATACCTGGCCTTTGTCATCTAGTAATTCAAAACTATTGCATAAAAATGCCCTTGCCTGTCCCCTGAAACAGCTTCAAATAGTATGTCTACATACTTACCAAAAAAAAAAAAAGCACTGTTGTACATCTTTGTCATTCAAAAATTGGAAAATAATGAACTTATCCCCAGTGAAAGCTTATTAGAGCTTGTAGTGCAGGATAAAGAACTGTGTGTTGTCAGCTGAACACCATTGTCTTTTGCCAGTTCACTTCTCTACCATTCAGCAAAATGTTCTTAAGAGACCAGCTATATGTTTTAATTCAGCTGATGCATTGCTCCCTTTGAACCTGATCACCTTAGTTAAGTCAGGGAAATGAAATCAATACAATTAGCGTGGTGGTTTTCTGTCCTCTCCCTCTATAGGCTCTCATAGCAAACACAAAAGCTGCTTGCTAATTGATATTGATTCATCAATTCATTGAATTCAGATATGTCAGGGGGAAAGTTACAAGGCCATTTTCATCAAAAGACTATACTGAAAGTGTGCTTCAGATGAAATGTGGGGTTTGTGTATGCACAGTCATGAGGTTTTTTGTTCAAATTATATGCCTTCAGAAGAAAAAGAAAACAACTTAATATATAATGTAACATAAACAGGATCTTTATTTTCCTCAGTAGCCTGCATCTCTGACCTCATCAAGAGAGCTACAGCTTGAAATGCTTTCAGATTTGACAGCCTTCTTTTCCTGTCTCTAAGATTAACCTTTGCATTTATAAAATGCACATTAATAAGTGTTTTACAGCATTAGTTTTGCAGCTTAATAAATCAGGTAGCAATAATGAATTTTCTTTCTACTGCTGATAGCTCACTTGAGGCAGAAGGGTGGGAGCCAGAGTGATCCGCTCTATACGTGTCAGTCTGAGTAAGAGTGAACTTACCATCATCTTTTTCTGCGAAAAAATCGTGTCAGTGTTTCAGTAAGGTCGCTATTGCATGATACAATGCAGCTCAGCCTGGAGCAGTACTTTTTCCCCAGTGCTCAGAAGAATTGATACCTCACCATGTTAAGTGAGATACAGCATTTAATTTAAGGCAGGCTGGGCCTGCCACAGGAAGCAAACCAAAACGATAGAACAACGGAATATGTTACAAGAAGGGAAGGAAGCGTGCATCTTAGCCGTATGGGCCATGGCTATAGTTTGCCTTTGGCAACTTTTTTTACAGGTGGTGTCATCTGGAGCGTGAGCAGTCAAGGCAGCAATACGGTGCCGTGATTGGATTAAGCTGAGAGCAAGAACTTGGGAAGAGTAAGAGAAGTATAACACTTAGGGCAGAGTAAGGGAGTAGTCAGAGGATCCAGGGTCAGGGTGAAGGCCATAGGAATAGCAGCTCGAGGGAAGAGGTGGAAGTACAGGTAAACTTCTGACCCGTGTTCATGCAGGCAGAAGGCAGTTGCTGCAGAAAGCCACAAAGCCTGAAGGCGAGTACATTGTCCCCAGGGCAAGAGATTGTGTAACAGGCATTGTCACCCAAACTACCCAGGTCTCTTTTTGTTTGGTTGGGGTTTTTTTGTTTTTTTTTTTTTTTTTAAACAATAATGAGTAATTTACCTGCTGAAATTTTTTAACTTAATTCCATATATTCAGTGTCATTAGGTAGCACATTTTCTGGGATGTTCAGGCTAAACGAAAGCAAGTGTAGATTCTGTCCAAAATTTTGAATATCACTGGACAACTGAAATAAATATGCCTTAAAGTCTGATCCTATTTAGGAGCATATTCCAAGATATCCTCATCTGTCTTTTTTTTCCCGTTATATACTGAATGAGTGTAATTTTTAAAAATGGAAAATATCTGGATAATGCTAGTTTTAATAAAGATACATCTGAATTTATGGGTGAGTGCAAAAATTTCTTTTCAATCTTTTAAAAGTTTTAAGCATGAATTTTACTTGTTGTGATGAAAATCTGGACATTTGATAGGAAATTAGCTCAAGTCACTTTTTCAAATTGTTTAGACTGCCATTTTGAATACATTAGCACAGACTCTTTGTTCATTCTGAAGTAGTTCATTGAGGAAAGCATCTCAAAATGTTACTCATCACATTTTCTGAGGAAATGGCATTTGAACAATAGAAGGCAAAGAGTGAAGTAATTCTTTGCTGCCTTTCAGGGGAAAATTAATTTATACACCATGAAACTATGCTGAATATGAGATGCTCAGCTTTCAGTGTTTGTAGGGTGTGAAGAACATGAGATACCGATGTGTTAGTACTGTAATCTTTTTTCTTTCTCGTTCTTTACACGAATCAGTGCTCAGTGAATCAAAAACAATTTACTGAATGCTTAGAAGATAAATATGTATACTTGGGTTGCAGTTGATTTCCTGAAAAACATCTTGGCCTTTAGTGCCAAAATGGGTTGGCAGGAAAATTTTTGATCTTCCTGAAGTGTAGAAATTCCTGTGAAGATGGCTTTAAAGGGCTTACTGGTTAAATGGTAGAGATTTACCCATTAATGAATTTTCCTGCATGCATTTCTGATAGATTACTGAGTATTCTTAGCAGAGGTGGGTATTATAAAAGAGCTGTTATTTTCTAAATTTTACTTGCGGTTTATCAGTCTGTGGTGGCTCTTGTATCTCTTATTTTCTACTTGTTATTCCCTGCTTTTCCATTTCTCATCTCAAAGAACCTTTCTATCTTTATATTGTCACCTCGCCAGTTAGACTTCTTACTGGTTTTTGCATTTACAGAAGCAAAGGTTAAATCTTTGCTTTTTTAATATGTCTTTCTGTAGTAACAGATCCTCTCACTTTGGCAGCCTAATAGATGAATGAATCTGCTAACCTGAGGAATACGTTTCAGTAATCTGCTGTTCAGGCATCTGGAAGATAACACAAATACTTTTGTTCAATTCTGCAGACCCCCGCCAGTCAGTGAAAGTGCACCTAAAGGAACTGTAGTAGCAGTTGTTACAGCGGCTGCCTTGAACCAGACAATTGTATATTCACTTGTTTCAGGAAATGAAGAGGGTAAGTACTAATACTTCGGTCTTAGTTATGCTGAGCCCAGTGCGGGCATCAGAAGTCTTCAAGAAATAGTGATTAGAAATAAAGTTGCTGAGGTGAAATCCCACTTTATCTGTGCAAGCAGGAGGGACTGCCATTATCAAGCCTTTAGAGCTCAGCTAAAGTTCAGATTAGTTACCGGAATTACAATAAAACTTGCAATACAGTGAAATTCTCACTGTATTGGAATTGTACTTCTTGCTTAAAAATCTATTTTAAGGCATTATAGACTTCGCTGTGCTGTAGCCACAAGTGTTAGATTAGAGCCTGATGTTTAAACAAAACATCATTCCTGCATTTGCATCCTTCTGTGATCCACCTTGAAATCTCTAAGAAAAATTACACTAAATTATTTGGAGGGATGTGGTAGAATTCCCCGTCCCATCCTCCTTTTTGAAAGAGTGGGCTGCTTGTCTGGTCTGTTCTTGCCAGAGTGTCCTCAAGTTGGTTATTCCAGTACCAGGTCAGATTCGGGTGCTATGCTCTTTTGAAGACGGCTTCAAAGAGGAGTTTTATGGTCTTTGAGAGGCCTGAGACAGGGATGGGAATGACTTTCTGAAGACAGTGTCAGAGAGTAGTGACATCACCAACATAGAAGCACTTAGGCATTAAAAAAAGGTGTTTATATGTCTTAGAAAGTTACTTCTGTTTTTGCTGGATTTCAGATGTGTTTGCCATCAATAACAGGACAGGTGTGATCTCAGTTAGAAAGTCTCTGGATTATGAAAGTGTGAAAAGTTACGAGCTTCGAGTTCAAGCAGACTCCTTACAAGTGGTACAATCCAATCTGCGTGTCCCTTCCAAAAGTAAGTTTAAAAATCCTTATTTTTAAATCTCTTTTTTGGTATACATAGGTATTGTTATTTTTTGAGGATGTTGGTAACTGTGCTCTAGCTAGTGACCTTATTCTATTAGAAATGTAACAGTGATGCTGGTGTGTGAGCAGCAGACAGTGCATTTCTGGATCTCTATGCCTTCCATCCATGGAGCTGATCAGTCTTGAGTTAAGTCCTTACAGATCATGTCGATGTTACACGGTTGTAGGTCTCACTGATGCAGACAAAAGTCATGTTTATATATAAACAGAATTGGTGGCATGAAGTGAATGTTTTCAGTATAATTAGGGCTTTTTGTGATGGAATGTCACAGTTACTTTTTTGTAAACACATTACACAGCCTAAATACAGACTTCTTCCCTGCTGGGCTGGTAACGTACCAGCAAATGTTGGGACACTGCTGAGAGGAACTGGGAACAGGTACACAGCAAGGGTGACAGGAAGGAAAAGACTCGTTCAGCACGCCCAAGGGTCTGCATGGAGTTTATTGCAACCCTGACTGAGAGCAAACTGGAGGCAAGGACCTGCTGTGATAAAGACGAGGAGGTTCTTTGCAGCATCTCTAGGCAGGAAGGAGTTTATTTACAAACTGTTTTACTTTGGCTCTGTCTTATGGTGAGGGTTTTCTTTTTCCCTTTAATGGTTTTTCTTTTTCTAATAAAAGTAATTTGAAAGGTCTTTTGATCATTTTGATCATCCTCCCTGTAAGGAAGAGGTCTGGGAAGTCCGGCTTTCAATCATCTGCCTCACTTAGTGACCTATCCCATCCTATACAGCTTCCTATTTAAGCTATAGTTGGGCCCTAGTTAAAAAAAATACAAACCTTGTACCAAAAAATATTTTGGTAGACATTTTTACACAGACTGTGTTGTCTCAATTTTTTTTTTTCTGTATTTTTGGTCACTGTGAGTCTCAGTTTTTCCCTGCTCTAGCTAAGGAGCACCATGGATGCAATGTAAATACGCCAAGGACAGCGGACTGTTGCACTGAGAAACTGAACATTTGTTTAAAGGCTATGAAAATATTACCTCCTTTCATTTCAAATTGAATGAAGATTTATTTCAGGTCATCGTTCTGCAGTCACAGTTATTCCAGTATGAGCTGTAGGCCAGATCTGTCACAGGTGGCTGGAGCTTTTTTGTCCTCTGCACTTCCACCAGTATTAATCGTAGAGCAAATCTTTAGCACTGGAAAAAAAGCAGGCTCGTCCTGACCAAAACCACCCACATGAACTAATAGGTTAAGGGGAAAACTTCAGCCTCTTTCATTTATAAATATCTGTCCAAGAGGCCATGCTGTACCATCTCATTGTATTCGCCCTGTTGCGAGCTTTGGTACCTGCTGTTTATTGATGCATGTACAGAATTCATTCCAAAAATGACATCACATTGGTATTTTGAAGCCATGAAATACAAATGGAGTTCAGATTTACTTCAGAGTCCAGTTTTATGCAGATAACCAGTACTTAATTATTTGTCAATCCGGGGAGACTGGCGCAGGGGAGATACCGTAAATAAAATGCCAGTAGCAGACTGTTCCTAAACATGGGTGAAATTTGGCCATTTACCAGAGTGTGTACATAATAAAACCTTTTTACAATTTTTTGAAGCCCCCAGTAATATAATGAGCAATTTTAGTTCAATTGCATCTTTTAAAGCGTTACTGGCAGTATGATACTGTAGGGATTGTGCTGTCACGGACTTTGTTTTGGTCTCTGTTCCCAAGGAGGTCTGCATGGCAAGCCAAGGGCAAAAAAATTTCCACCGGTCTTTCATCTGTGGCTAATGTTAGACTGTCACCTTTCCACCTGCCCCAAGCAAGAGATTATTCATTGTGCCTGTGTCCAGGCATAGAGAGCACTGGGTAAATTAGGACTTGGAGCAGTGTGATCCCCTTTTCTCCTTTGCTGTAGGGAGAAGTGAGCTGTGTCAGCTTTTTTACTTTTTCTGCTCACTCTGGGCTCTTTGGTTGGCATATTGGCAGGCAGAGAGCTGGAGTGCCAGTCAAAGGTGACAAAGTTGTTCCATGACAGACAGAGCCTTTCCCACATTGCAGGCTATAATACACAGTTAAGAGTCAGAGGATTACAAAGGAAGGGACAGGCTTAACTAACTGGGCTGATTATGCTGTCCTTTTTCTATAATTAGTCTTCTAATTGTTGTTCTGATGGATCCAGTAATAGCCATGAGTATTAAGAAATCTATCTCGAGTTTATTTCAGTGCCAGTTTGGTACATATGCTACAGGGTATTGTATATAGATTAGAGATCAAAATTCAGATTTGTTGGGATGGTTCTTTAAACAGGGTGCAAGTCTGTTTCTTCTGTATAAAGATACTACTGTAGAACTTCCTTGCACTAACAGAATTGGTACTTCATGAAAACTTGCGTACAGATTTTTAGAGTTCTTACAGATATTAGACTTAATGGGCTTAAATATTTGGGAACATGCCATAAAATTGGGCAATAGACTGTAGCCTGAGACATTGTATAGGGGGTGGCAGTTAAAATACATTCATTGGGCTTTCCGGTACTACCCACACAACCCGCAGAAGATTTTTGGAAATTGGGTATGTGTTATCATGGACATTTCTTCTTCCTGAAGAAGGAATTGAGCATGTGTGTGATGTAACATGTAGGAATTTCTTCAGTGATCAGCAGTTTCATTGTCTTAACAGCAATGCAAGATTCTGTGTGGTGTTACAGCCACAATGGATGATGTATCTGGAGAGGGAGAGAAAGAGAGCAGTAGTGCCAGTTGACTGCATTTCTTTGTGTCTGGGAGAGGTTCAGTTAAGGTTATATTCAGTAAAATGTGGCCAGGCCATACACAGTGAGGAGATAAGGCTTCCATGCAGCCTATAGCTTTTCTCAAATCTTTCTCTGACGTGGATGAACAAACGAAGGAGTTGGCAGATTCCAGCAGAGGTCTTTGGGCAGACCTTGCTGAGCAGGGAAGCAGTGGCCTCTGTATCCCTCTTCTGACTCATAGTCTGCACTACAGCAGTTCTCCCAATTGGCCAGCAGTTTTAAAAAGGTGGTGGCTGAATTATTGTATTCAGGGGTACTTGATAATGATTGGAGTTTGAATTTGGTCCACTTTAAAGGAAGACATTCATTTGCCGTATGTGTTTGGATATCCATGAGTATACAGCATGTATTAGGCTTTGAATATGCACTGTGCTGGGTGGTAGATGTATATTTTTTAAATACTTTTTAAGTATCTTGCTAGCTAAATGATTTATGTCTTTGTAACAGAGATCCCTTGACCTCTAAGTTTGATTCCTACATTTCTATGATGTACGTCTTTCCATTTTCTCAGCATCTTTTTCTTTCTTGATGAGTTTTAATCAGATTAAGTAGTATTTCCGAGTTTCAGAGCACTGAGTTGATGAACTACAGCGGAAGGAGATGAGACAGAATTAATGCACCACTGTGGACTTAGGTGACACTGAAATGGTGAACCACTTTGGAGATAGGTGACTTTAAATGCACTTCTCTGTAATTATGTGGCATTGAATTAATACACCACTCTGACACTCAGTGGCAATGAACTGCCAGTTCTGGTGTTAGATACCACTGAGTTGGTGAACTGTTCTGGGATCTGTTGGCAGTGAATTGATGATGTACTCTGGAGCTGCAGTGATGAGCCCTTCTGGAGCTAGACAACGTGGCACTGACGAACTGCTCAGCCACAAAACAGTGCTGAATTTTACAAAACTCAGAAGCTAGGTACCAAATTGGTTTTAACTGCATGGTATTAAAGAAGATAGTTATATAGAAGTAGGAGTCTGAGTTTTCATCTGTGCAGTCTAAATGTGGATGATACTGCATGAAGCACAACTGAGCTTGTTGCTGAGCAATAGTGCCAACTGATAGTGTAGTAATAACTGAATAAATAAATGAGGAGAGAAAGTAAATTGAGGTGTCCTTTGGAGTATGAGAACATAAAATTGGTGACTTAAACTGGAGTTTTCAAATGTGATGCTAAATGATGCAAAATCACACTCTTAACTCGCAGCAGAATTAAACTCCTTAAATGAGTTACTTTAACTGAAACATTACACTATGAAATTGCAGTGCGTTTTTACTTCATTTGAATGGAAGAAGACTTAGGTTTTCTCATGATAGTGAATGTAAAAGGTTGGAATTCTGGCTTGAGGAATCAGCAACTGGAGATGCTGAGCCCTGAAGGGCCTTCAGTGTTAATGAACTTCTCCAGTTCAGTTAGATTTAGCAGCCTGGGGTTTTTTTCTGTCAGCTATTTGCTTCTTAGATTGTCTATCACAATAGTCCGTAGTCCAGTGGTATAGTTTGGGTCAAATTAGGATCGCGGTTATTAGCTTCTAAATAGAAGCTTTCAGTTCTTCCTCAATGGATAAGATGAAAAAGAGAAAAAACTGATATGTAAGGGGAACATCGCAAAACTGCGTGTGGCAGGATGTGTTCTGCTGTTGGAAGTCCTGCTTTGTAATCTGTCACAGAGCGAGCAGCTCCTTCCTCCCAGAAGGAGTTGTGAATTAGGGAGCTGAAGGGAATGTGTCAGTACAATTAATCATTTACTAAACCAAAAGTACTTCTTGAACAAGAACAGGAGAAACATGATCTTTCACCTCATTTGAGCGCTGTCAGCTATTTGCAAAGTTTTTGTCTGCATTTCGCTGTCCTGCAGTTTGGTACCCAGGGAGGTGTGGTCAGAGCAATAACCTTGTCGTGGCAGGGAAGGAGGGGACAGGAGGAAGCAGAGGGGGAAACCAGAGAAGAAAGAAAAAGAGCTGCCTAAATGCAGTAAGAAAGAGCAGTGGAACGGTATGGACAAGTAGGGGCAAAGAGAGGGTTTTACCACCAAAGTAAGCATGGTCCCAGTTTTAAGAATCAAAGCATTAGTGGGCACCTGTTCTCTGTGCCAGACAGATAGAACATGCACTGTGGTGGGCGACACCATGGCTTCCCACTTTGATTTGGAGAGAAG